ACCATTATTCCACTGATTGTGGTTCACTGAGATCTTATAAAGCATATGATGGCAGCTGTATAGGTTGTTAAATATAGGTACATGTGCATTTAACTATAAATGTGTTCTATTTAGTACTTTCAGTGGGTTTAGTACTTTCCTGTGAGATAAAACCCGCCACAGATATCCTTTGGGGTCACTACCATAATACTTTGGCCTAATTTAGTCAATACAGAGTTCAGACAGAGTTTACTGTTGGTGTCTTTGGATGCGCACAAGGCTCCTTTTTGTTTTCTAGTGTCCATACTTTCAGCTGCTACAGTAATTGTATTAATGAGGCTTAGTCTTTAAGAAAACTGCTGGATTTGCTCCAGAAGAGCACTCAGGAGCTAAACACTGAATCAGAAGGTTTCACTGTTAACCTAATCCTGAGCACAGCTCCACCGTTATCGAAAGAATAAAGTGCTGATGCTGTGCAGTTAACTGTGCCTGGATATACTCATTGAATAAAGTTAATGGAGAAAAGTTTCCCTTGGGCAGGTCTGTGCCATATGTCCCGCTAAGCAGAGCTGTGCAAATAATTGACTTTCAATGTGTTGATCAAACTGTAGAATAGAGGATGTTTAGGCTTGGGTTGGACAGAGCATTTCCTTCAGACATTACTTTGTAACAAGCAGGTAAGGAAGAAGGAAGCAGTAGCTCTGCCTTTAGCCTAGGAAAATTCAGCAAAGATATGGGAGCCCCTGGGATTCTGCTGGGTCCTTTTTTTTTATTTCAGTGATGTGAGAAATGGTGCGTGTCCTGTGACTGTCCTGTTCAAGTGCTTTCCCTTTGTCCATGCTCACAGCCCAAAGAGAAATCCCTCACAGAAACTGAAAGTGAGGGTGGCTGAGGAAAATAGTGCCAGACTGGGGTTGGACTGTAGATACATGTCCTCTTCAGGATGTAGATTTGCCCCCCGCCAGCCATCCATCACTGCCCTCCTAACGCATGCACTGCTTGTGGTCACCCTCAAACCCTTTCAGGGCCCATAGGAGGAATCTGCTTAACCATTACAGCTGCAACCAGAAGTGTGTTTTCAAGACTTGAGATGAAGTACTGCCAAGTTTCTCAGCTAGGAGAGTTGTTCCCTGGCATGCTTTGAAATTAACAGGAAAACTAAAATGTGTTGATTCAGAAGGTATTTAAACGTTAGTCTCGGTGGAACATTAAGTCCATGAGTAATTTTAGACAGTGTTTCCCTTTTGTGATTTCAATAACAAAAGAAGCAGACTTTGGTTTTCCTGAATCAGAGGAGTTTATGGGCTTAACTTTCATCACGAATTTTGAAGAATAAAAGAGGAAAGAGAGACATAAGTGTATTGTTCTTCAGTACCAGAAATTCCAGTTTATGAGTATCTGTTTTTCCATATGTCTGAAAACTATACAAACTTGATTTTTGCGAGGCAAACCCATGGCCCCCAATAAAGGAAACTTGTTTGTGTGTAAAGGAAAACAATGTGCAAAGGTTACTGTTTTTCAGTTTCTGAACAATTGTACTGAGACAAATGGATCATGAACACCAACATCTGTGGAACTCACAGCCATGTCTATTAGCAGATTTGAACAAATTCCCAGCATTTGTTTTTGTAATTTGATTATCATATAGACACAACTGCTTTCCTGGGTTATAAGTAAACATGGCTGGAGGAGGAGATGAATGGTGTGTGAAATACATCCAGTTTGGCTTTTGGTTGCATGCTCTTGGAAACTTTCCTAGACTCTTGTCCAACGGTTTAAATTTAATTTAGACTTGGGAAATGCAAAATGCACTTCATATTTATTAGAATAAGAGATTGGTGACTGCAGACAGTGCTCTGCAGGCAAACAGCAGCAGAAAGAGGCATCCTCTTGAGTATGTTGCAATGTAATTTGGACAGTGTAAAGACAACGGCAAAGGAGGATGTTTAGGACACTAGCAGGAGAATGCCTTATGAGTTTGGTGTGTGTTTTGGGTTCTTTTAGTTTATATTTTTAAACAATGAGATGAAGTGTGATAAATTGAGGCCCAATATCTTAGTCAGCTTTTGTTTGCTGAGTAGAAATGTCTGGCTTTCTGTCCAATGATGTTATTTTCTTCCCCTCAATCAATGGAATGCAGCAGTGAAGAAAAGGAGGCATGGAGAAAACAGGATGCTTAAAATGTCGTTTGTGCCATGAACCTACTCTTTTGCTGCAGACAAGGCAGCAGCCTGGCCATGGACTGTTATGAATCCTGCACAGAGGTCTCCATCTTCTGAGAAGATGGCTCCTTGATTTGCATCTCCAACTTTATTCTGCTGAACAAAAAGTGCGCATACGGCACATGTAGATGCTGGTGCTCTTTTGGATTGTATCCTCACCTTCAGGATCCTGAGTCTGGTCATGAGGGCTGGCTTTCAACCAGCAACAAGCTTTCTTTTCCTCAAACATGACTGATACCAGTCATCATCTGAAAACAGCTTTACTGTCAGAGAAGCAGGCTCTGCAAATGGTAGCCCAGTGTGTCAAGAACATGTTGGAGCTTGAGGTAAAATTACATTGGCTCAGCTGCCAAAACAAGCAAACGTGCATGCTTTTTCCAGCAAGGCTAAAGGGGAAGCTTCTGGTGCCTGCCGGTGCCTTTTGTCACTAGATGATGGGATTAGACTCACTGCCCCGTGTACTCTCCCAGCAATGCAGCCCAATGGCCAAGACCCTTCAAGACCTCTGCAATAACCTGCCTACAAGGGGAATTTCTTCCCAACTCCTTCACTTAGTATTTATCTTCTGCTCTTAAAATCTGAGGTTTTCTATCCTTTGATGATTTCTTACCCGCCATAAGGAAGCTGTGGTGTTCACATCAACCTTCTCAATACCTGTGCTTCAGATGTTAAATAACTTTTGAATTTGGTCTCTTGGTTTAAGATTTGCAAAAAAACGTAACAGGACCCCAACAATATAAAGGACAATTCAAAGATACTGTGCCTGTTTATTAGTTGTTAAATGGTGATTCTGTTAATAATTACAATTCTAGTTAAAATCTCCTTGAGTATATCTTGGCCTGTAAGGGTCTTTAAATAGCTGAGCTCCTTTTCATGCAGTGTACAAAGCCCTTCATGCTGGCAGCAGAGGACCAGAGAGTCCTTGCAGTGCAGTGCTATGTGTGGAGATTTATGCCAAGGCGAACTGTGCTCCCAGACAATGATGATAAAGGTGAGAGTTTTGAGAAACAAATGAACAAACACGCAGACAAATAGAGGTTACAGTCCTGAGCCCCAGTACGTGAGCAGTGAAGCAGCCTGTCACATGGGTCGGTTAGCGTGGGTTTGTAGCATAATATCGTCAAAACTGAGTGTTGCACCAAGACTGTAAAGGTTACACATTGAAAGAGAGAAGTAAGCTCAGTCTTCATGTATCTGAAAGACAAATGGGTTTGCTTATGGGAGGCTTGTGTTAGTTGGAATAGATCATAACCATGTCTTGGCCTTCCTGGACATGGTCTGGGAGATGACCCTCTCTCTTACCTTTCTTGTCTCTTCCACATCTTCTCCTTGGCAGCACAAGGGTAATTTTCCAGATACAGATGTTTGAAAATCAAATTTGATGGAATTTTGGAGACTGCATTTGAATTCTCCATTGCATTTGATGAAAGCAAATGGGCAAAACCCATTTGAGTCTTGAGTCTATTGGTACTGAGTGGTCAGGGTTTCCAGCCCTGCTATGAATTAACATGAAGAACTTTCCCAAAAACCACCAGAATGAAGTGTTACAGAATAATTTGTCAAAAATGAAACATGAAAGTCATGTAGGGATTGAGAAATTTTACAAGATCAGCAATGTTTTGCAGTGGGGTGAAATGAAGGGTCAAATTAGAGCTGTGGAGGCTTGTTACACATGCCAAGTATGTTCACCAGGTCAGACATGTGGAGACCAAGAATTATTCCCAGGAGCCGTGGTTTTATCTTGGACAAAACCGTATTTTCTTGGACTATTTTCACTTCCCCAAGATACGGGAAGACACAATTACAAAAAAGGCAGTCTAGTCTATCAAATCCATTTCTTGAGGTATGATACATGAGATAGTATTGCCTAGCTATGAGATAGTTTAGTGGGTGCATGTTCAAAGTCTGTACTGAAACACAGGTGTAAATCTGCGCAGGTGAATACCCCTTCTCCCAAAGCCAGCTGGAAACAGATCACAGATAACACCCATGAGAAAGGCAGTGGGCAGATGTGGAGCTGTATCTCTAACTTTTTAAGTGCAAGGAGACCTGCATAATTAAGAGGCTCTTAAAGAGTTAGTTTTTTTGTGTTTTATTTAGCAGCCATTCACTTGCTGGGTGCTGTGGTTGCTGACTGATACAGGCTGGACCCCAGAGCTTTTAGCTCTAATGTTTTGCAGAAGTTCAGAGGCGTACTGTTTTATTCAAAGTATTCTGTTACGGTCTTTTACAGAAGATGTATGGTGTGGACACCAGCAAGATTTAATGATTAAAAAAGTAAATAAGCTTATAATAGATAAAGGTAAAGTAAGAATAAATATGAAGGTTCCAACTAGTATTTTGTATTTAACTTTTATTTCTTTGAGTAGTCTTACAGAAAGAAAATACCCCAAGTTTGCAATGTAGGATTAATGTTGTAATTTTCCCAGTGATTCACCATGTAGGCTGCCTTTGTTTGGTAATTTGCTCTATGTGGCAAGAATGTGAAAACAGGGAGGCTGTGTGAAGTCAATAAGCAGTGCAGAGATTTCACTTTGAAGTGCTCCAGCAGTGAATGCGTTAAATGTTTTCATCAGAGACTTAAAAAAAAAAAAAAGTCATATGGTGGATGTGCCAGAAAAAGTTTACTTTATAAAAGAGAGCATGAAAGAAAGATTACAGCAGTTCCTTTTAAGCAGCTTTTAACCTTAAAAAGAATGTAATTCTCAGTCGCAGGGGGCAGAGCCCGCTTCAGAGAGACCTCCCTCCCAAAACTGCCGGGATCCTCTACTTCCACCCTGAGCAAAGCAGACGCCTTCTCAAAAGGAGTAAAAGCCTCCCAGCTGCCTCTGGCGGCGTAGGAATAGACATGTCTACGGGGAGGATCTGTTGTCTGGTGCTCCTGACCCTAGGGGTGCTAGCGGTGGTTGTTGCGCTCGTGGTCATCCTGACTCAACCCAGGTGTGGTCCTCAGCATTACCTGCATGGTGCCGTGGCTGCTGACACTGAGACCTGCTCTGACATTGGCCGGTATGTGTACGGACCTCTCGGTTTTTCAGGTTACGTGTTGCCTATGTCGTGGACTCGGACTGACAGACCGGTACATGCATTAACTATGGGAGTGAGCTGGGTTTCTGTCCCGTCCCTGCTTCTGGGGCTGAGCGGCAGTGCTGCTACCTGGGTGCTCTTCATCAGCAGTGGAGCAGCTCAGAGAGCAGATGGAGCCCTATCTCTGCGGTTAATGCTTATTTTCATTATCCAATGTAAGAAAAATTTGCAGCTCTGCAAATCCTTGGCTTTGACCTTTTGGAAGGTACAAATATTTATAGTATACAAATGCAAGGTTGTTTTTAAGTGGGGAAGCAGGAAATTAACTATTTACTTCATGGTGGTAAGTCTGTCAGGTAAGTGGCATAGAAATAAAATAAGGAAGAAGTGAGAGGAGCTAGCTGAGAGCTGCAGCTGGGCTTCAGCAGAGGCAAGGAAGGCAGGCAGGCTGAGATCGTAATGGGGACTGGGCATCCCAGCCTTTAGGGTGTGTGTTTCTGGACTTAAGCCTGCAGCAGGTGTGCCTGCTATCAAGAAAGACACTATATTGTAAGAAAAAGAACCGATTTAATTGAAATTCAGCCAAGACAGTATAAGTACAAAAGACATGCTTACATGAATTGGGAGGAAAGATGTAGGTTTAAAAAAAATTCTCTAGCTGCCCCAGGTTGTAACACTTCAGTTTGCGTAACAACTTCTCAAACATTTTGACTCTTACATCTAACTTTACTGTTACTGCTACCTCTGTTCTTAAATGCGTCTATATATGAAAGTAGAAGGATGGAACTTCACAAGGTACATGTGATGCTGGGTGCTCCAACAGAGGATGCTGGAGCTGTGTACTCTACCTTGTGGCTGGGGGAGTGAGGTAAGACATGGTGCCATGACACCATGCTTGCCGTGTCTCACATGTGGATCTTGCAATGATGTGCTGATAGAGTATTTGTGAGTAGTTGGAGAAAATGTACCATGGGTGCACATATGTCAAGGAATGAGATGGGATTTTTTTTATGCTAAGCCACGTGTTAGTTCTTCAGAGGGTAGAAGTATCTTTTAAATCAGTATTAGTGGAAATAGGGGAAAATAGGTTATTGGATCACCCAAAGAATCTGCTGGGAAAACCACAGCTCTTGTTTTGCAGCTATTGAAATTTTTGACTTGAAGTAATGTTGAATCAGCTGGAAGGCACTGAAGTGAGAGCCACAGAAATCTGTGATCAGGTTGACAACTGAGAAGCTTTGGCTAGCTGGCTCCTGCTGCTGGGCTGTCATCTGTCTCTCTGCAAGAAGCTCCACCTGCTTCCATAGTCTCAACCATCGCTGTAGCTGTGCCTCCAGCGCACTTGCTGACAAGCTCTGTGGTGTCCCTCCAGTCTGACCGACCACCTTAGATTTCCTACAAATAGTTGGCCAATGGTCTGCACAAAATTTTGCCCTTGCTCCAACTTCCCCTCACACATTTTTCCCCCTTTGCCCTAGCCTGGGGCATCTGCACATCACATCCTGCTGCTCCAAATGTATCAGCTCTCTCCTCCAGTCTTGCCAAGCCCCCTGGATCTCCCCAGCCAAGACTATTCTCCTCCTTCACCTTGGCTCTACACCACTCACCCTCTGCCCAGTGGTTAGCTCTACTCGCCTACTGCTGCATGATGTCTGCTTCTTTTCCCAGTATCCTTTGCCTCCAGCCATTTTTGGAAACTTTTGTGCTCATTTCATGCTGTGCTTATACTTGGAATGAACCAGACTCCTCTGTTGTTCTCTGAGCTGGAGCTATCTGCTCATGTTCTTGCAACAGGTTGTAACAAAACTGTTCATAAAAATGTTCATCTGCAACAGAGCTTGTGGTCAGAAGCTTTGTATAATGTTTGCCCTTTTCTTTGTCATTGCCCTATTTCTCTCTTTGTCCCCACTGGCCCACAGTGGTAGCTTGTAAGGAAGGAACATGTTTTCTTTGGGGGAAACGTGAGCGTGTTCATTTTCTCCCAGACATTTCTGTGCTGTTGTATCTGTACATCACATTTTAGCTCTTAGTACACCACTAAATTCTCATAGCAGTCTAGGAAGTGAGAAAACGATGTTATCTCACTGGTATAAATAAGGAAGTCTAGCGTGGTAATTGTACTGCGTGGATGCCACATCAGAGTCATGTTGACCAGGGTCTCTGCCTTTCAGAGCAATCTGCGGTGCTTGGGTGCATCTCTCACTGACCTCCTGTGTGACTGTGCAGGGTGAGGGCTTCCTCATGCCTGACCCGGAGGTCTTGATGGGAACACCAGGAGCTGAGGAGCACAGAGCAGCCTCCTGCGTAATCTTTGCTGAACAAGATTTTAGCATCACACCGGAATTTTGTCACAGCATTAGCAATAAAATCCAATTTCTCAGAGCAGTCTTAGCCATTAGGCCCTAATGTCCCCACCTGTGAGCTGCCACTTCATTTGGCACTTAACTTCAGCAACAAAGCAAGAGCTGGGCAAAGCCAAGCATCTCTTGATGCACAACACTAACTCCTTCCCAGGCACTGCCCAGCCAGTCAAATGGTGGTTTTGAGATTATGACAATGCTATTGACTTCTGCTGTTCAAAAATAATTAAACGTCCAAAATCATGAGACTTAGGAGAGAAGAAGCAAGAAAAAATAATTAATCTTGGGTATTTCTTTTTCTTACTAAGGACAGTATCTAGGTCTTCACTCTTTTTCTGCATTTATGCAAACATTTGCAAATTTTTACACTGTCTGTTTGGTCTTGGAATGATGTAAAGAGTTGAGGCATTAGGTGAGCAATCATGAATGGCGAGATTCCCAATGGCACAAGAGCTGAGACCTGTACTGCTGGTCCTGAGTCCCTGCTGGGCCTTTTGCTACCCATGCTGCTGCTTTCTCTCTTCTGCCTAATCACTGCCTTACCCCCAGCTCTGAGGCTGCCTCTTCCCACCTGTCCCTGTGATGGTGTCTGGGCCTGTGCAGTCACTACTTCAGGTCTTCTCATCCTACCAACACAACACCCTCTCCCCTGCTCCCAAATTTCTCAACCCTATGGGCTTTCTTCTGCCCTGATCCTGCCTCCACAGCTCAGCCACCTCACTCCTCTCCCATCTCCTATGTGTTTGAGGCAGGACGTGGCCACTCTCCTTGCTTGTGGTCCAGCCTGGGGAGCACTGAGTACTAAATATAATAATTTCCCTGGGGTTTTTTTGCGCCCCAAAGCCATGGCTGTTACCAGATGCAGGTTTTTTTGTGGAAGCTGTGCTTAGCCTCTGCAGTTCAGGGTTGGAACAGGCTTATTTCTGCTATCATTGCTCAGAAATCGCAGGAGAATTAATCTACCAAAACTGGTTAATTCGCTGATGACCACACACATACACATTTTTGTGTATATAAAAATAAGTAAAAAAAATTTTATGATTAATATGGTCAAAATTTTTAATGACCAGGTTTGGTGTTTTTTTCCCCCAAAGCAAACAACTTGGCCAAATTAGAATGAATTGTTTGAGCTGGAGGCAGACTGCATCTTTGTCTTTGTACTTGCACACTGCAGCCCTTCCTAACAAATTGTTCTAAAACAAGTAAAATAAGGCAGAACAACAAATTTCCTCAGTCTGACTTTTTGATAATTGCCAAATGCTTTTAGTGGAAACATACAAAAAAGAAAAGAGTGACCGCCACAGCACAATGGGGAAAAAAAAAAAAAGGGCTTGGTGGCTTAAGTATGGCAAAGCTACAATCAAATGAAAACCACGTGTTGTAATTGAACCTGTCAGCCTGCCTGCCCCACTGGTGAGAGCAGGAGTCATTGCAATCAGTCCCTAAAGGCACACCCCAGAGCAATTCAACAGTGCCTGTTTGGCCCCGCTCTCCCCAATGACTGGGCAGACCCTCTCTCTGCTGGGACCCTGGGCTGCCCCCCACAGCCACCCCTTTCATCCTGCAAATCTCCCCAAAGCTCCTGGGAACCCATGCAGGGGATTCTCGGAGAACCTCCAGTGCAGGATGGGCATGAAACTGATTGCACTGGTCTAGTGCCTGAAGTCTTGGAAGCTAAAAGCAGCACCTAATCTCTGACCTACTTATAAATTTCATTCTTTAATTAAAAAAGCTTGTTCCTTTTTTAAAAAAAAAAGAAGAAACCCAAACCACATGCTCTGTGAGTTGTCATTAGCAGTAATGAAATTCCTGGGGCATTACATGATAATGTGTTGGTTTAAGATGCTGCTGCTTAAGACAGAGACTTTGTGTGCTCCTAATAGAATTTTTAATTGAACTTATTGAGAATAACTGAACTGAACCTCTTGCCCAAAGAGCAATCTTGTCTTTTAACAAGGTGGGTTGGGGAAAACAACTCAGCGCCCTTGTATTTCCCTCACTGATAGCTCAGCTGTGAAGGAAGAGTCAGTGAAGGAACTGTGTAGCTCTGTAATTCATTAGTACAAGCAGGAGATGGGGGATAGACTCACAGCCCCTGTCTGCTGCTGTTTTTCTTCAGGTCTGCACAGCTCTCATCTTCAGGCTTGGGTTTTCCAGCTCTGGGGATGGTGTTTGTATATTCTGGGGCTGTGTAAGGTTGGACTTTCTGAAATCTTTATGCAACTCTTTGGCTCCCTGTAGAAAGTGGCCAATCTCAGCATCATCCTGTGCTAGACTTGCTCTTAGCCATCAGTGCCCAGTTCCCAGTGGTGAATGAGGTCAGGTCTTTTGCTGTGAATGGTTTTACTGCTGGGGACGAGGGACTGAAAGCAATATTGTGCAGCTGTCTGGTCCAGACAGGGGCCCTGTGCTGGAAGAAAACTTGTCCCTGAATGAAGCGAAACACTTTGATGACGAGGGATGGGAAGCTAAGAGGAGAGCCAGAGCAGTTTTTAACCCAAGGATGTGGATTTGGTACCAAAGTCCACCTCAGTAATTTGGCCTTGTGTCAGGAAGCCGTGAGGAGACAGGAGGTGATTGCCCTGGCAGTGAGTGTGGTACCCAGCTCCACCTGCACCTCCAGCTCTGAGCCACTTGTTCCCTCCTGGCAATGGAAGAGACTTTTGCCATCAGCCATGCAAAAAGCTTTACATTCCCTACCAGTGTGCTGTTTGAGTTCTGCCATCCCCTGCTCTGCATCCATTTGTTTCCCAAATGACAGAAGCACGAGCCAACATAAGGCCAGGGAGAGTTTTAGGAAAACAGTTCATTCCCAGTGATGGGATTCGCTGCAGCGAGGTGAGCTGACCTGGCCTGGCCCAGCAGCCATCTCTGATCCCAATTCTCCAGTGTAGCCTAGCATAAACCCTGGGAACCAGCTTTTTCTGAAATGAACACCCACCTGGGGGACAGGCTGGTGGGGAGGGTGAGAGTTTAATGGTCAGAAAATGTCTGTGGTCCTGGGAAGCTCAGTTCTAGGCAGAGAATCTGCTGCAAAAGTCCTCTTCAGTGATGGCCCAATAGCATTTCTGAAGAATGTTTACATCCCAAAGGATTTGCCCTCCGGTCTTCTTGGATTTTAATGGTTTTAAATTCAGCAATTGACCCTTTTTTGCAGAAACAGCTGTTGCTTTTGCTCTTCATAAATCTTAAGCGGGCAGCTCCTGTATAATGAGTGGTCCCCTCCCAGCCCCCATTTTTCCTTAGCAGAAAAAAAATTTAATAATTTAATGTGTTAGCATTTCCAGTGTATTTAAAATGGCTTCAGGGCTCCTTCTAGCCCAGGGCACAACAGCAGACTTGGTTTGCAACCCAGCCCATCTTTGCTGTGAGGATTGTGTGAGCAAAGTGCCATCATTCACTTTTCCTGGGAGGGTAAATCCCTGTTTTGCTGATGCTGGCATGGGACTTGGTTGTTAACATCCTCTTCTGCTCCTGACTTTAAGGAAACTCCATTAATGGCCAAACCCTAAACCTGAAACTAAGTGGCAGGAAGGATATAGGACAAAACATGCTGTTATCAGATCTTGTCAGCTGTAGCACTAAGACGTCTCTAGAGAGAACTGGTAAGGTACCACACTTTGATTGGGGGTGTGTGTGTGTGTGTGTGTCATGTGTCTCTCCAGGGTTTTGCATTATAATTAAGCTAGTTGCAGCAGTGATCCATATAAAGAGAGCAACCTAAGGGGACAGGGTGTACTCTGACAGTCTAGCTGGATGAGAAAGACATAATGGCCCTAAATTCCCCAAGCATCACTTCCAAGGAAGTGGCAGGGCTCTGTCTGAAAGTGGATGAGCCAAGCGTGGGAAGCGGAGTGTGATACCCCAAGAGCCAGTGTTTTTTGTTGTGTTTCAGTCTCCAGAGAGGCTGGAGGGAAAGCTGTCCAGACTGAGGGCCAGTCTGCAGATAGCATGGAATGGCTGTGGCCTGGCCCCTGCACTGATGACAGGGGACACATATCAAGGCTCCTGGGTAAAATAGCAAAGCAGCTCAAAAGAAATCTTGTTAATAACCCTGATCAGGATTTGCTGAGTTCACTTGTTTCTCAGCTTGAGCTAAAAGCCTGTCTGGAAGGCTTGCTTTGCCTTAGCTACCACCATGCCTGTCCTGTGTCATGGGACACCCCTTGTTCAAGCCAGGGAAACAACAGCAGTGTGGTGTGCAAGCCCTTCAAGATGTGTTTGTGAGATTTGGGGCTGGTAGTGCTTCCTGCCAGGCTGGGAAGAGCCAAGATAATGCCCAGGTTTGGGGAGAGAATCTCAGCTCCCCTTTTCCCTAGCCCCTCTCTCCCAAAGAAGCAGCAAGCAAAGGACCATGCTCAGCATCACACACCCCATCCCATACTGAGGTGTCCCTTGGTGTTGGCTGCTGGTGTTATTTTTGCTCTCTATTGCTTTAACACCAAGGAGTCACAGCCAAGAATCAGGCACAGAGCAGGAACAATAAAGACTATCTCTGGTTTTCCTGCCTTCCTGAGGCATGCACACTGTCAATGTCTTGGGCACAACCCATCTGAAAACTATTGGGTGGGCTGGCAGGCTGAAGTAATCAGTGCCCATAAATAAGCACTTGATTTGCCTCAGCCGTGCCAGGCAGGATGTGTCCATCCCGGTGATGCTGCTGAAGTCCTCTCCACTGGCCAGTGAACATCTTCCTCCCACTTGTTCCTTGATGCTCTCAGGAAATCTGTGTCCCTTTTGCCAATGGCAGTAACAGTCCAGGTCTCAGCTCCCTGGAGAAGTTTGCTGCTCTCTTTAGCAGTCAGATATGCCTTTTCTCCTGAGACTGAGACCTCACTTGTCCTCCCTGATCTCAGTGGGAGCCAAGGGCACAGCTACAAACTGGAGTTTGCATGGCTTGTGTTATCCTGGCTCTATGTCTAACAGGGAGTGTGGGAGGGGGGAAGCATGGATAAGGTCCTGCTAAGAAACTCTCAGGTTTGTATGCTTTGTGCATATGGCACTATGTTTACAGTAGTTAAAGGGTATTTAGATCCTATTTGCTTTTATAAACAAGTACTTGGAAATACCAAAAGATCTTGGCATAATCCAGAAACAGGCCATATAGGTGTACAAATATTAAATTAATAAATGGATTAACCCTTTAGAGCATGCTACTAAGTTAATGCAGTTCCAGTGCAGAGCATGCTGGCTTGGTGCAGATTGGGGAATGGGATGGGGAGAGCAGCTCATCTTCTGGAGCTGGTAGATGGCCATCACCAGATGACACAAGAAGGGATGAAGATCTTCATCAGGGAGTGCTCCTCCAGGCACAAGTGTTTCTGGGGATGTGGTGAAGGTGTACATCACTGGCTTCAGGAGAGTGGCAGGAAGATCCCTGGACAAGACATAGTGCAACATGTGCAACCACTTACACAACTGTGAACTTGGCTGGGAAGTTGGGTTAGGATCTAGTGCTTTTTGGGCTTTGGGAAAATGACAGAAATGTATCTGATATTCCATGTTAAGGTCTTAATGCATTGCATTGAAATGAACACCATACAATCTCAAAGCTTCTTTTTAAAGTTGTTTTGCAGTGCAAATTATCTTGGAATGGGCACCAGGCTTTGTACATATGTTGCCTCGTAGTCTAGGGGCTCTGAGGAGCACTGTCCCAGGCCAGTGCAGTGGTCCTTCTCCCCTCCTTCCCCAGCTTTCTGACGTGCTTCCTGGGCCTTCTGCAGGGGTAACAGCTTCTCATGAAGCCTTCCCTTCTATTGTTAGCAATTAAAAATCTTCAGTTTCAGAAAAACACCACCCCAGGGCATTCGTGTGGTGAGAGTCTTAACCCTGCTGCAAGGAGATGAATGGGCAAGCCTAAGTCTCAGTCTCCATTTTCAGAGCTACGGCCAGGGAGCAGCTTGCTGCTAGGAGGCTAAAAGCCCTGCAGACCCCCAAACAGAAAGCCTGGTGGATCCCTACCATTTCTTTTCTCCCCGCTTGTCCACATGCCATTTCCTTGCAGGCAGTGGTTCCAAAGGCACTTACAGAAACAAAGGAAAGCCACAATCAGCGTGCCTGCTGGCAGCATCCTGTTCCCAGCCCCAGCAGATCCCAGCCCCATCAATGGATGTAAAATAAACAGCAGTCCTTATATGTGCTCTGCATTCTTGTCAGCCTCTGGGAGCAGTTGCACCTTATCTAAGCAATATCCCAATCCAAACAGTCAGAAACCTTCCTAACAAACACCAGTGCTGGCTACTGGCAGGCTGAGCAAGGAAACCCCACCCCACCACATTTCCACTGCAAGGAAAAGATTTTTTTCACAGTTGTGCTTGAAGGAAGCATTTGTTGAGACACGTTTCGCTAGCAGAAACTCATTGCTGTGAACAGCATGAGGATACCTTAATGCCTGTGTGTTCTTTGGTGTGGCTGTGCCTAGGCAGAAACCGTAGCGGTCTGGTTTTTTCTCCTCTTCAGTTTTGTTTGTTTGTTTCTTTTGCCTTTAGGGATACAGGAAGGGGGTGGGATTTTTGTGCTACTGTCACGTAAGCCAAGGAAGGCACACTGCAGGAGCAATGAAGTAAGGCCTGAATTTTGTGCTAATTGACATGTTCAGCCTCAGGAGTTTGCTTCACATGGACCCACTGTTCCTGCGTCAGTGGCCCTGTCCTGCTGACCAGCATATGCCTTGTTATTGGGAATGTAGGTGGGGAGCTAGAAATCAGTTGTTTTGTTCCCAGCATGTGGAAAACTGTTTCATCTGCGGAGGGCATCCTCCTCCCCGTCTGGGAGCGCCTTCCTCTTCCTTTTTGTCAAAAGTGAGCAGCTGCAGTTCTCTCTGTCCCATCACTCTTTGCCCAGAGGAAGACCAGCCTCACACAGGTCTTGGCCCCTGGCTGCTCTTTCCTCCTGCACACTCTCTCTTTTCTTTCCTAATGTTTTTTCTTTCTCACTCCCACAAAGGAAGGTGTCTTTCTGCACTTCCACACCCCACACTGCTGCCCAATGGGTTTCTCCAACTGCTAGCTACTCTCGTCAAGCTGGGTCTGCCTTGCAAGTGCCCCAGGGAGACATTTTCATGTAGCTCCTCCATTCTGTCACCCCTGGATTTTAACATTGTCTTTTTTCCTCCATTTTCTCCACAGGGACATCCTGCAAAGTGGAGGCACAGCCGTGGATGCTGCCATTGCTGGTTTGATCTGCACCTCGGTGATGAACCCTCAGAGTTCGGGCCTGGGTGGTGGGGTCATATTTACCATCTATAATGGCAGCACAGGTATGGGCCAGCCCTGGCCTCTCCATGGTGCCCTGTCTCCCTACAGACACCCAGCTGCCATGGAGAAGTCGGAATCCTTCATGTTCTCTCAGAACCATTTTTTGAATATAAAAGCTGCATCCTCTGATCACAAACCATGTTTTTGCTTTTAACCCAAAGCGTCCGTTACAGGGAGTGCATCTTTTCACAGCCAGAACATGTGGGGGCTGGGGGAAGGAGCTTTGGGTTGAAAATGAACTGACTTTGCCTCTCCTTCCCCCTCCAAAGCAATCCCAAATTATGTTTCAATGTCACATAGCTGACAGTGCAGCAAGGTGTGAGCGGTGCTGTCTGAGCTGCCGCAGGCTGCCATGGAGGCAGGCGGGAGCAGAGGGAGGTGCGTGTGCTGGCAATGGGTGCAGCAGTACGGGGCTGTTGCTGGCTCAGCTGAGCCCTCGGGCTGGGACTTCAGGGGCTCATCCTGCATCAGCAGCTCAGGCAGTGCCTGCCGACACGGGGGCAGCATCACACGCTGCCCTCGCCGGCTTGGGTAGGACACCCCAAAGCAGCAGTGAGACTTCCTGCCCCAGGAGATGCATCTTCCCTTCAGAAATCTAAATCTAGCAACGTTCAGGGCCTGCTGGGGAGCCCTTCTGTGTTTGGCTTCACCCCTAATGTTGTGTTCTTGCTTTTATGTTTTTAATTTTTTTTTTAACTGCCTTGGCTCCTAAAAGCCCCCAGAGCTTATATATCTAAATAGTAAAATCAACATTGAACACAATAACAATACTGTAGTCTTAAAAACCCTGCCAAGTAGTCTCACAGGGTCACGAGTCTGGAAATGCTTGGGTGTATCTTTTGCAATAGCATAATTTGGCAAAACACCTATATTTTTCTTTCCTTTCAGCAGAGCCATGTAACTTTGTCTCATATCAACAGTCCTCTTCTGCTACCTGAATTATCCTGCTGCACAGAGCCGCACATGGCTATGCACGGCCCGGTGCTTGGTGTACTAGGTACCGCTGTGGGCTCCTGCAGCACAGCTGGCTCTGTGGACTGTGATGGGGAAAGATAAACACAAGGCAGAGAAGGAGGCAAAATAAAATAATACGAGTATATACAAGGGGGGGGTTGTGGTTGGGTTGTTTGGTTTTTTTTTCCTTTCAAGCTTCCTGCTACATAGAGGGTCTTTCAGTATCACCATTCTGCTTATAAACATGACGGACATGCCTCACCATCAGTTGGAAAATGGTCCACCAAGGAGCATGAGGCTCATGTTATGTCTCTGACATGTCCCACCTGTAGAGGAAGTGCAGAAACCTGCAAATCAGATGTGAAGCAGCATGTCCCAGGCCCAAGAGACTTGGGGGGGAACCTTAACTGGCTGGAGACAGGCCCTGGCCTTGTCCATGTACCTTCCTTGCCTTTAGGTAGGCATTGCTTAGTTTGCTCTAAATAAAAGCACGGGAGCAAACAACAGTGTGTGCTAACTGTAGCCTGACCCTGCAGGTGTGCTTGACACATCTGGCAAAAGGCTCCATGGCAAGTCAGCACGGTGCCGCACGCTCCGGGCTAGCAGCCTGTCCGGTGCTCACAGCTGGCTGAAGTGTGATGTTCACCTGCTTCAGGAAGACAATGTTATGCATTTCCCCCTTCTCCTTTCTAGGAACAGTTGAGGTGATCAATGCCCGCGAGACAGTCCCTCAAGTGTTTCCACAGGATTTGTTGTCTCACTGTACTGCTGATTTCCCCATTGGTAAGGACACAGACTGGGCCATGAGGGCTGCGTGCCCTCCGGGCAGGCACTGTACAAAGCTCAGGGTGGGGGAACTGAGGACCTCGCTGACTTTATCTGAAGCTCTCTGTAATTGCTTGCACTCTTCCTGAATTGATTTTTGCAAAAGTAAGAAAAAATACTAGGTCCATAAAATTCCTGCTTCATTGTAACATTGACAACATGACCAGCAAGGAGGTGGGGAGCAGAGTGTGAGGAGAAATCACAATGTAATTTCTCTTCATAGGAAGTCTGCATTTCAAGACCAGATTTCCCAAAGAACTTATTTCCCAGTTCTTACAGAAAAAAAATAAGGTCAATAGCTGCTCAGAATTTCTGGAAATGAAAGAAATCAATCTAGAGTGCTTGCCTATGTCCTTACATTGGAGAAGCAGCCTGGCAGCATCAGGAATTGAGTTGCTGGGCTCCAGCTTAGTTCAGATACCACCTCACTCCCATCTGAGGAGGCTCCCCGTCCATTTGCTGTTACTGGTTTGGCAACAGGTACTCCTGCTTTAGCAGCACATTTTGGATCTCTCCACATTTCTTGCTGCATTCATTCTCCTTCCCTAGCACATTTTCTTTTGGGGTGTGTCCTAGTTCCTGGAGATGTTCTTTTCCTTGGAAGAAGAGCCTGAAAATGAATTGGGAACAACTATGATTGGAAGGAACAGTTGGAGGTCTGCTCCAATTCCTGCTCAAAGCAGAGTGATGTCAGAGTTAGGTCAGGCTGCTCAGGGCCTTGTCCTGTCATGTTTTTTAACTCCTCTGCCGATGGAGAGTTTCACAGCTTCACTTGTTCTAGTGTTTGATCAGGCTCTGCATGACTGCTTTTTCTCTTGTGTACAGCTGCCATCTCCCTTGCTGCAATATGTGCCTGTTGTCTCCTGTGCTTTCACTGCGCACCTCTCACTCTGGCTCCAGCTTCTCTACACCCCTTCTATTAGGTAGTGGAAGAAATACATCAACAGAAAAAGGAAAGAAACAAAACCAAGCCTGCTTTAAAAGCCTTAGTCCTGCCTGTACAAATCCACACTTCCACTGGAATGTTTTCAAAGAGGTGAGGCCATGGACTTACTGGGTGTCACACTGCTGTTCTGCTTCTCAGGTTCCCGCTGGATTGCTGTACCAGGAGAGCTTCGTGGGTACGAAGAAGCCCATAAGCGATATGGCCGCTTACCGTGGAAAGCCCTGTTTGAACCAACCATCAAGCTCCTTTCACAGCCACTTGTCATTTCCCCGATTATGGACAAAATATTCCGCCACCCAGGCTTCGCCAGTCCAGGAAAAAGCCTGTGGTAAGACCCATGAATGAAATTGCAATGTGAGGACCACTGTTCCCTCAGCTTCAGACCCTTCCTCTGACATGCTGTTATGGAGCACAGGCAGCTGCTGCGGCTTCTGCTCAGTAAATAACTTGCTATGGAGAGGGAGGGAGTAACAGAAGTGTTTTTTAAAAAATATTTTTCTGTCAGCAACTCTTTTTTTTTTATAATTTAGAGTGGTTTTGCACAGCAAAACTGTCTGCTAAGCACATCTGCTCATGAGGAGGAGCTGGCTGTATGTAGCCTGCCTCCATCTGTGTGGAAATCATCCCCTGACAGCAGGGCCCTACAGCAGACCCTTGTTTGGAGAAGCCCCAGTGACCTGAGCCAGGGTCAAAGCATTAGGTCCCGTGGAGGAAACTTTGTTTGGGGAACGAGTGCCTGGTGCTATGGGTAACAATCATCTGAGGAGAACTTTTCTCCGTGTAGACTGCAGTGTAGCACTGGCTTGGAAAGTATACAGTAGGCATAAACCAAGTCAGCTTTAGGAATAAAAAAGAGATGGGCCCTGGGGGCAGAATAAGCTCATGCTGTAAACTGATGGATGTTCTTCTTTAACAGCCCACTGATATGTGACGGTGAAAGGTTTCTGAAGCGTGGAGAGACCTTCACGTGGCCAGCACTGCGGCAGACACTGAGCGCTGTAGCGGAAAATGGAGCTGCAGCATTTTATGAGGGAGAGATAGGAAAGGCCCTGGTGGAGGACATTAGGAAGGCTGGTAGGTAACAGCTATAGTTAATACTAATAGACAGGCCTTTTCCCAGAAATTGGCTAGCAGTGAGTTGGTACCAGGGGAAAGCCAACACATGCCATTTGCTTGCCACTTGGGGGTGGTACCTGGCATGGGAAGGGGCCACCTTTCCCCAGTTCTTATAACTCAGGCCCAGAAGCAGGGCTGAGAGCCACCTACTGCTCTGGCATTTACCCATAGTGCTCATGCACTGGCCTCTCCAACTCCCTTAGGCTTTGTGGTGTCCTGGGATTTGGCAGTAGATGAGGACACATGAAGACATTGCTATGCTTGGTGGAAGAAATTTGGAGTATACAGGGGCAGCTCTTTACAAGTTTTACCAAGGCTCTGATGTAGCCAGCCCATAGCACCTGCTAATGCCAGCTATGCATCTGGTTTTCTGTTGAAGGGTCCAGTATCTCACTGGAGGACCTCCGGAAATACAAAGCAGAGGTGTCCTCACCTCTGAACATTACCCTGAACAATCACACCACACTGTTTTCTCCTGGACCGCCCATGGGAGGTGCTGTGCTCATGTTCATCCTCAAGATACTGGAAGGTAAATTCCTAAGGGAAAAGGGGCAGCAAGAGGTTTGCAGAGTGTTTCTCTAGAGCAGTAGAAAAGTAATAAGGAGAAATGGAGCTGATGAGCCAGAATGGGCCCCAGAGCAGCAGTGTGACTATGCTGCGCAGCAGGCTGATGAACTGGCTCATGCTTACTGTGGGTCAGCATCACCATAGTTGCTGCAAAGGCCAAAGGATACATGATTTTCCCAAGGCTTCAAGAGGAATTAAAGTCACAGCAGAAATTAGTACTTGTTTTTTTCTGTGCTCACATGCTGCTAAAGCATAGGGGAAACTTGATAAGGACTGGGATGGGAGAAGGAGGTTCCAACCTTTTTTTTTCTTGAAAAAACATAGCCTTGAGGCTATTAACAAAATTATTTCATCCTGCTCTGTAGAGTATAAACTCCATGAAGCATCACTGGCAACACCCAAGGAGAAGTTGGAAACCTACCACCGCATTGCAGAAGCCCTGAAGTTTGGCAATATGTTAAAATCCCATATGAGTGACCCAGACTTCTCCGAAGCTCAGGTGAGCTGACATGGTGCATAAGGGCAGTCACAGACACCCACAGCATGGACAGCTTCTTCTACACTGCTGCTTGACAGAGAGGGAGCAGGGAAGGCTGTTTCCTGCTTTTTTTGTTTTAAACTTGCATTGTCACCAACTCATTTTAGCCTTTGTGCTAAGCCCTCAAGCAGGATACCTATTGCCCAGACTATCCTGCCTGCCAGCACAATGCTACAGTACCAAGCGATGCTCTGACACCCTCCTGCTTTGCAGTCACGGAAGGAAATAAAATACTTAGAACTGCTGGTCAAGAGCAATGCTGCTCAGTTGGCCAAGGGATAGGCAATTTGACCATTTGCTTTGTCTGCAGTTTCTGTTCAGCTGTGGCCTGGTGCTCACTTGCCTAATAAAGGATGTACGCACATGCTCACGCCAATGCTGAGGTGACTCAGTACCGAGCTTGTTTAATTTTCTGTGATGAGAGTGGCCTGGGGATTCAGGCTGGGGCTGAATGATGCCAGTGCAGGTCCCCAGCTCTGACTATTGAGGCTGAATCCCCCAGGCTTCCTTGTGCCCCAAGAAAGATGCCTGTGCATTGGTGGCACAAGCTCAGTGTCCTTGCTGTGATTGCAGGTGGCTGTGGGGACTGTGCTGTCTGACAAGATTGCTGAGCTTGCCAGAAGCCGAATAGATGGCCGTGGTGACCATCCACTCAACCATTACAACTTGTTGGATTCTATCTACAACCACAGATACAAAAGTAAGGGCACAAGCCACATCTCTGTGCTTGCTGCAGATGGCAGTGCCGTGTCCGCCACCAGCACCATCAACTACCCGTGAGTAGCCAAGGGGTTGGTAATTGAATCACATGGGCCAAGTATCAGGTTCACAGGATACATGCAAGGGCTGTTTACCAGAAATGCAGAACCCTTGGGCTTCACAGCTTTAGGCAGTCCCTTACTTGTGAATGCCTTTTTCATGTGACAGCAAAGGTCTTTCAGCATCAGCCCAAAGGAACATCACTATTCACAAAGATGTAACAACTTGCTGAGCTCTGCTGAGTTTCTGTGAGCTGGGCAAATCCCCACTTCCACTACTAATAGGGAGCTTATCTCTGGCTCCAGCACAGCAGCACAAACACCTTTTGGACACCCTGGCTGGGGAAGTTGTAGGCTGGGAGGAGAAAGACATAATCCACAGGGTGCCATGTTCAGTTACTGTCATCCACAACAGGAAAGCACTGGTCACTGAAAGGCTACTTCTTTCCCTCCTGCAGGTTTGGCTCCTTTGTGTATTCTAACCAAACCGGGATCATTTTAAATAATGAACTTGCTGATTTCTGCATGGCAAACAGAAGCATTAAACCAGGTGAGCGTTTTCAAACTCAAAATAAAACACAAGGCCAGGAGATGGTTATGCAGGCGAGGTACAACTGGGCAGGGACTACCTATAAACTGCAGGTTCGTTTTCCTTTCCTAGGTCTGGATCAGAGCAAGTTTGATTCAGACTAACAGAGGATAAAGCCCTGTCGTGGCTTGTCTACTCACATACACCCTTGCATGGAAACATGGGAGTTTTGGTTTCTGGCCAGAGAAATCGGAGATTTAAAAAAACCAAATAAACAAAAAAAGGAAGCTGAAGCTGATCATTGATTGATGGGGAGGGGAGGGAAGAAGTGAAGAAACTACTGCTAAGACAAGCTTGCTGACTTTTTAAGCTCATTATGAAGAAGGATATAGTTGCACGCACCACCAAAGCAGTAATGCTATAGGCTTACACCACGTTCTGTAACACAGCAGTGTTGATGCAGAGACATTGCTTTGTGAAATAAGCTATCCCTGATGCAATCTCCCTTGGTCTGCCATGAGAGAGGACATCAGCACTGCAATGGCAGGATTGCTGCTAATGGTTCCTTGGCTGGGTTGAATGAGCTACAGCAAGACCTGAATGCTTGTAGGATGCCCTGCACCAAGACGCGCTTCCTAGTTAGCCTGTGCCATAGAGGTCCAGTTTCTTGTGGGATGGGTTCTCTGCACAAAGCAGCTAGTTTTCTGGAACACTTTAGCTTCTTGAGGAATGAGCAGCAGCTTGGTTTTCCATGGGTAATGCAAGAAGAGTGAGGTAGATAAACTCATGTCCCTCCAACCCCCTTAACAGCCACATGGGAGGAATAATGCTCTCTGCATCTTCTCTAGGAGAGAAACCTCCCTCAGCAATGGTGCCTTCCATTCTCATCTCCAAGACAGGAGACATGCTGGTGATCGGAGGAGCTGGCGGGGCCTGGATTATCAGTGCTACTGCTATGGTGAGTGAACAGATCCTGCACAGTAACGCCTTCCACTGAGCAAGGGGAGCACACGCTGTCCTGAGCAAAAGAATTACTTTGCTGCTGCTAGTACTGCTATGTGGAAGGCAGCAGCAAAGAGGGCCTGCTGCAGACTCAGGCTATCCTCACCTTCTTGCATTTCTGTGGCAAGTACCATCTGCCTCAATTCTGTTTTGAAAGGGAAGAAGTTAGAATAATCAAATAGCAAGTTAAGGAAGTTATTAGGAAGAGAGGTATTGACCAAAACCTTGGGGCCCCAAAAATAAACTGGTAAGTTACATGACAGAAAGAACAAGAAAAACAGAAAACCACCACCACACATGTACACAGAGTAACAAATCTTAACGAAAAAGAGTTTGTTGAAGCATAAAGTCTAACAAACATCTTGTTCAGCAATCAAGAAATAAAAACAGATAAGGCCACAAGAGGAAAAAGAGAACTTTTTTTTCTTCATCTTTCTTCAACTGGAAAGGAGTACAGGAAGGAGTCCATGCTAGGACCTGATCTGAAAACAGAAAGAACAACCATTATTAGAAAGATACAAGATCCATCAGTAGCTATTGAATTCAAGGACACCCCTTTGGCTCAGGGAAAGCATTCTGGGAGTTATCATTATGTGCTCACCCTGTTCTTGCCCAGAGTGTCTGGTATTGGTCACCACGAGGACGGGAGACTAGGCTAGTAGGACTTCTGGTCTGACTCAGTGCAGCCTCTCTTACAGTCCAGGTTTGCACCATCCTGCAGGCAGGATTTAAAGTAGAGCTGGTCTGGCCTAACATCAGTGCAGGGGATGGCAGCATGTGACCCAGGTATCAGTATCTCCCGTCAGGCAGTGTGGGATTTGTTTCATTGCAGGCGATTATAAACAAGCTGTGGTTTGGCTATGACTTGGAACATGCCATTTCAGCTCCCATCATGCATACTGAAGGTGACAGTGTCCTGTTTGAGCAACATTTCAGTGAGGTGAGTGGCCTCGCTTCGATCTTCTTGTCTTCTCCTTTTGGTGAGGAGGAGATTGCTTCTGTAATGCTCCTGAATAATCTGTATTTTGCTGCTAGCTCACCTCCTTGCTTAAATCTCACTTTCTCAACCTGACCCCACAATACACATCCTTCATTTTCACACCTGGCAACGCTAAGACCTCGGGCCTGTGCCCTCATTCACTCCATTTCCTCTTCTCTCCCCCCTACAGGAGGTTAAGAGCGGCCTGCTGAGAAGAGGACATAAAGAAAAGCAAGCTAGATTTGCAATGAATGTTGTGCAGGGAATTTCCAAGGAAGGAAAATGCATCTCTGCTTACTCTGATAAAAGGAAGCTGGGGAAGTCAGCTGGATATTAGCATGAAATGCCATCACAACTCACAAAACCACAAGACATAACTAGATTCAGAACACGATTTGGCTTGGACATGCCAACAGTGCCTGTTCCCATCAGGATGCCTGTTCGAGTATGGGCAAAACTTGCGATTGCACCTAATTCCAGTAGACTGCAAGTCACCCTAAGGCAATACAAGGACAGGTCAGCCAGCCTTGTTTAGAGCTACACCCTCCATTACTTATGTGATATACAGAAAAGCATATTTCTTGAGCACATCAGCTCTTCAGAATAAGAGAACACAAAGTGGGAAAGGAAAATTGGTCCAAACCCCACTGGGAACACTGTGAAATGACCCAGCTGTATCTTCCATTC